CTCATGATGTGGCCTACAGTGACACTAGCCCAAAGTTGGGGACTCCCATGGACAGGGTTCAATAAAAGGAGGGCCTGAAGCAAAGACTGTCATTGGATGTTGGACACACCTTACTTCAATCCTGGATCTGTCACTTGGTGATTGTCACATAACATCTCTGAGCTTTGTCTGTATAGCAGGAACACCTCCATGGAAGCTTTAAGGATGAAATGCAGGGGTAATGCCTTGTGCACACTGACTTTTATTATAAAGAAGAGGCCTTATGCATGATATTCGTGCACAGGTAGGGTCCCAAGGCCTGGCCAGCAATCAGGGCCACTTGGGGCCTTCCTTCCTCCGGCTGCCAGTTGCCAGTTGGGTCCTTCCTTCTGCTGGCTGATGGCTGCTGGCCCGGGCCTTCCTTCGTTCAGCACCATCCCCTAGTGGTCAGCACATGTCATAGCAAGCAGTTGAACCACCGAGGGGACAATTTGCATGTTAGCCTTTTATTATATAGGATTACAGGACTCCATAAACCTGGACATAGCACAGCCATTTAAAAAACATGCTGTCAGAAACATGGCCATTGGTGTGAAAAGGTGTTCAGGGCATAGTAAGCGGAAAAGCTAGTTTTAAAAAGGAAATCTGTATGTCAGGGTCCTTAGCCTGGAGCCCATACCCATGGATGGTTTTATGCAATTCACAGATGCTCTAAAATTATCCAAAGAATTTAGGGAGAATATGTAACTTTTTGATAAGTCAAAATTATCACATTTCCAAAGGGACTTGTTACCCCACACATGGTGAAAAACGACTGGCATTTATATAGCATGATTCAATTTTTGTATTTAAAAGAGGTAACAAAAATTATATTGAAAAGACTACAAGGTCATACATCCAAATATTAATAGTATTTTTATTCTGGCTGGTGGGCTGATGGGTGATTATTTTTTCTGTACAATTTGTATGATTAAAAAGAGAGGTTTTGATTTCCTATTAAGTCACTTTCAAAAAGGATAGCTTGGGAAAATTTGCTCATTTTTTCTCAGCCAAAATGCCCTTCAGTGGCAACAATAACATCCAAAGGTACTTGTTAGGATAAGATGAGATGATTTATGCAAAGAGGAGTTCCGGATGTCAGCAGTGCATCCAACACACTTATTTACTTGTGTATGTGCTGGGGCTATTCTAGTTGCTGAGGATAAAGAGAGAAGGTCTCAGGAGTTAAAATTTTAAAAATATCTTTTATAAGCTTATCATTTAGAAGCTATCATGGTTTTGTTTTTGTTAATCCTCACCTGAGGATATTTTTTTAATTGCCTTTTTTTTTTTTTTAGAGAGAGAGAGAGAGAGAGAGAGAGAGAGAGAGAGAGAGAGAGAAAGGGAGAGGGAGAGATAGAAACATCATTTATCAGCTGCCTCCTGCATGCCCCCTACTAGGAATTGAGCCTAAAACCCTGCATGTGCCCTGAATGGGAATGGAATCCAGTGATGGATCCTGGTGACCTGTGGATTCCTGGGTCTATTCTCAACCACTGAGTCACACTGCAGGGCACCTGAGGATATTTTTCCATTGCTTTTCCGAGCGAGTGGAAGGGAGGGGAGAGAATGAGAAAGAGAAACCAATGTGAGAGAGACATATCAATTGGTTGCCTCCTTCATGTGCCCTGATAGAGGGCGGGGAATGAATCAGACACATGCCCTGGACTGGGAATCGACCCATGACTCTTTGGTACTCAGGCTGACTCTTTAACCACTGAACCACAGCAATCATGTTTCTAATGTTGTTACTTGAACCCCGATATTTGAGCCTGCCGGCACACATTGGCCCTAAAAGGAAGGCAGGAACAGGAATTTGCAGTGTAGAAAGAAAAAGTGTAATAGTGAATAGGCCAATCCTCTAAAAATCCAACTCCCCAAATGGCACCCAAGTTACAGATTATATAGGGAAAAATCACAAGACACTCTGGAGTGAGGCCGGTCCAGATTGTGCTGGAAGCTGATTGGTTGCAAGTTAGGTAAGGGTGATAAATAATTCCTCTAGGCCTAGAAGATAGCTCTGAGGTCGGCTCTGGCAGCCCTCTGTCTGGTTTCATCGAAAAGTAGCCAGGGGCTCAGGAGCTGAAACATTACTTATCTTTAACCTGCCAGAAGTCCGCTTCTTGTGACTGTTAGTTTCCTGCTATTATCTTCTGCTGCCTCAGGATTTGGGGGGAGAGGCCAGGTCTATGAGGGGCTTAGAGAGAGGGGATTTCTAGAGCTAGGATTCAAGCCTAAACTTAGTCAAAGTCATAAGGACCCTCCGTTTCAATTTTGGTGTCTTCCTTCCAGCCTTAATCTTTTAAGCAAATAGTTTAGATGTTCTGCACAACTTTGGTTGCCGATTTGCTCGTTAGTTTATATCCTCAGCATTTTCTATGCCTTTATTTTTTCTGTGCCTTTAAAACCCTGTTGTTTTTTAAGAAATCTTATTGTTGAGAGTAGTACAGAGTTCCCCCTATTCCCCCATTGCCCCCCTCCACCTGGTTCCCATTCTGCTCCAGGCCTTCACCACCCTATTGTCTATTCATATATGGTATATGCCAGGAATGCTACTAGGTAATGCATATATATGATCTTTGGCTAATTTCTCCCCCTCTTCCCTTTGAGATTCGTCAGTCTCTTCCATGTTTCCATGCCTCTGATTTTATTTTCATTCACCAGTTTATTTTTATTAGATTTTTTTGTTCATTTATTTTGATTTTTAGATTCAGTTGTTGATAGATATTTATTCATTGCCTGCCCTCCTTCTACCACCACCACTACTACTACTACTACTACTACTACTATTTCTCCTCCTCCTCCTCCTCCTCCTCCTCCTCCTCCTCCTCCTCCTCCTCCTCCTCCTCCTCCTCCTCCTCCTCCTCCTCCTCCTCCTTCTTCTTCTTCTTCTTCTTCTTCTTCTTCTTCTTCTTCTTCTTCTTCTTCTTCTTCTCCCCTCCCCCTCCTCCTCCTCCTTCTCTTGCTCCTCATCCTCCTCCTCATCCTCAATACCCTTCAACATTTCATGTAATCCTGGTTTGGTGGTGATGAACACCTTTAGCTTTTTCTTGTCTGTGAAGCTCTTTATCTGACCTTCAATTCTAAATGATAACTTTGCTACAGAGAATAATCTTGGTTTTTAAGTCCTTGCTATTCATCACTTTGAACATTTCTTGCCTTTCCCTCTGGCATCCAAAGTTTGTTGAGAAGTCAACAGTCGTATAGGCGCTCCCTTGTAGGGAACTAACTATTCTTTATTTCAATTAGTGTATGCTTAATTTCTGACTGGTCCTTTTTCATGTCTTTGAACTTCTCACTAAGATCCTTGAGAGTCTAAGTCCCTTGAAGCACTCATTCAGATCCTTGTGTAACCTTATAACCATGGTTTTGAACTCTGTTTCCAGTAGTTTGCTATTTCCATTTCTTTCATTGACATGTTTCTGAATTTGTCTCTGCATTTTGGCTGCTTCCCTCTGTTTGTTTCTATGTATTCGATAGAGCTGCTGTCTCCTGGAATTGGTAGTGTGACCTTGAGTTGTAGATATCCTGTAGGGCCCAGTGGTTCAGCCTCCTGTCACCTGAGCTGGACACTCTAGGTGTGCCCCTTTGTGAGCTGGGTGCACAGTCTTGTAGTTGGCCTTGATTGCTATTGGCGTCACTAAGAGGAATTGGCTGTGAGGACCAGCTGCTACTACAATGGAAGAGCAGCTGTGCAGGAGATACCCTTATGGAGCAGGACTTGCTTCAGTGGGGCTTTGATGCTCACTGAGTCTGCCCCTTGAGTGTCACTTGTGGATGCGTAGAGTTGTAATCTAGTATGTTATGGTCTAAAGCAGTGGTCGGCAAACTCATTAGTGAATAGAGCCGCAGTTTGCCGACCACTGGTCTAACGCTGTCCACAGGGTGCATTGGCTCTGGGGCTTCCTGGGAGGAGCAAAGTCAATCACTGCCTGGGGACCACCTGGCAGGACTTACAGCAAGGTCTGCAGATGGCTGCTACTTGGAAGTGCCCAGATGAAGCCCAGCGTGATGCAAGGCAGGCTGGTGCTAGTGCTGGGTCTTGGGCTTTTTATTGATAGGTTTCAGGCACACTGACACCATCTGCAGCTTGTTTGAGAGAGTTTAGCAAAGTCTGAAGCCTGAGCCAGGACAGGCCATTTATTAAACGGAAAAGCTGCTGCAAACAGCTTGGGTGGGGCAGGGTCTCAGGGAATCACCAGGGCTGAGCAACTGTGTGAGCCAGGCTGATGGAGACCGATTTGGCTGCCAGTCAGCCCTGTAATGGGGGAAGGTCCTAGCAGAGGAACAATGACCCTGTGTGAGCACCCCATCTGGGAGAAAGACACCCCTTGAGTTCTTGCTGGGATACCAGATCCTCCCTGTGTGTCCCTGGATCCTCCAAAGCTGTCTGGTGCCAGCCCTTGATGAGGAACACTTGAATCTCTGGCAGCCTCCATGCCACCCACAATCCCTTGTGATTTTTAGGGCCTGAAGTTAAGGGTTCCCAGTTCTGGAACCCTATGCCTGTGGTCTGGTGTGGGACTGGGACCCTTGTTCCTGTGGGTAGTGGGGGCGGAGGGGGGGGGGCGCTCTGCGGGAGAGATTCACCTATGGGTGTCGAAGGACCAGTGCAGCCGGTTCTGTGCCCATGCCCATCCTACCAGTCTCAACGTGCTTAAAAGTCCGTTTTTGTATTTTTTTTTAAAACATATTTTATTGATTTTTCACAGAGAGGAAGAGAGAGGGATAGAGAGAAACATCGATCAGCTGCCTCTTGCACACCTCCCACTGGGGATGTGCCCGCAACCAAGGGACATGCCCTTGACCGGGTTCGAACTCGGGACCCTTCAGTCCGCAGGCCGACGCTCTACCCATTGAGCCAAACCGGTTTCGGCAAAAGTCCGGTGTTTTGATCCCACGTACTAGTTAAAAGACTGGCTGGAGGGAGGGAGGTGCAGGCGATGGGGACTGACCGGGTGTCCCCCTCTCCCTGGCCACAGACAGCGAGCTGGTGCTGCCGGACTGCCTGCGGCCGCGCTCCTTCACCGCCCTGCGGAGGCCGTCGCTGCGGCGCGAGGCGGACGACGCGCGCCTGTCGGTGAGCCTGTGCGACCTCAACGTGCCGGCGGGGGAAGGCGAGGAGGCGGCGCAGGCCGCGGGCGGCCCGGTCCCGCAGAATTCGCTCAACTCGCAGCACAGCCGCGCGCTGCCCCCGCAGCTGGACGGCGACCTGCGCTTCCACCCGCTGCGCGCCGGCGCGCACGTCCGCATCCTGGACGAGCAGACGGTGGCGCGCCTGGAGCACGGGCGCGACGAGCGCGCGCTCGTCTTCACCAGCCGCCCGGTGCGCGCGGCCGAGACCGTCTTCGTCAAGGTCACGCGCTCGGGCGGCGGCGCGCGGCCCGGCGCGCTCTCCTTCGGCGTCACCACGTGCGACCCCGGCACGCTGCGGCCCGCCGACCTGCCCTGCAGCACCGAGGCGCTGGTGGACCGCAAGGAGTTCTGGGCCGTGTGCCGCGTGCCGGGGCCCCTGCAGAGCGGCGACATCCTGGGCCTGGTGGTCAGCGCCGAGGGCGAGCTGCACCTGAGCCACAACGGCGCCGCCGCGGGCATGCCGCTGTGCGTGGACGCCTCGCAGCCGCTGTGGATGCTCTTCGGCCTGCACGGAGCCATCACGCAGATCCGCCTCCTCGGTGAGTGCTTGCTCCTGGCCGGGGGCCGGCCGCCTGGACAGCACCCACACAGAGGCTGGCTGCAGATGTGGTCCTCGAGCGCCCATCCCTTGGTCGGCAAACTGCGGCTCGCGAGCCACATGCGGCTCTTTGGCCCCTTGGGTGTGGGTGGCTCTTCCACAACATACCACGGCCCCGGGCGAGTCTGGGTTGAAGCAGTGGCGTTGGAAGAAGTTTTAAGTTTAAAAAAATTTGTATTTGGATCTGTTGACTAATGAGTTTGCCGACCCCTGGAGGGGAAAAGTGGGTCCACCCAATCCCAGGGAGTTGTCTAGAAGCCGCACACCTGCCATGAGTGTGGGGCGGGACTCCTGGGCCCTCAGGTCTCACTGGCCGCACCTGGGCAGGGGAGAGAGGCGGGATTGTTGAGTTTCACGCTCAGAACCTGATGAACCCCCATTCCCGCCGATGTGCTCAAGCCGTCCAGGCACACACGCCAGTGGACACTTCCAATGAGAAAATATTGTTTTCACCAGCAATTAGCCTTTTGGAGCTCAGTTTTAATTCTCCCAAATGGGAAAAAAGGCCTTGGCCTCTTAAAAAAATTTCTTTGGTTAAATAAGAAAAAGAGGTCTGCAAGTCAGTAGTCAGGTGTCTACAGGGTGGCGCCTGGGTGGGGGGCCTGTGGGAGATCTCTGAGCAGAGGCCTTGGAGGAAATGGGGCTGCAGAAGGCTGAGCTTCACCTTCCCGGGTTTGAATGGACAGATTTGGACGTAAGCCATATTTTCCCGGGAGTTCTGTGCGTTAGGTATCAGTTGCAAAAGGGTTCTTGGGTTGAAGCTTGGGAAATACTGAGTTTTTAAAAAGCAGGGGTTATTTTTATTTTTAAATTTAGCTTCTATTATAGTAGTACATGCATTTGATACATAAAAAAATGATAAACTTGCCGAAACCGGTTTGGCTCAGTGGATAGAGCGTCGGCCTGCGGACTGAAAGGTCCCGGGTTCGATTCCGGTCAAGGGCATGTACCTTGGTTGCGGGCACATCCCCAATGGGGGTGTGCAAGAGGCAGCTGATTGATGATTCTCTCTCATTGATATTTCTAACTCTCTATACCTCTCTCTTCCTCTCTGTAAAAATTCAATAAAATATATATATTTTTTAAAATATAAACTTCAAAGTCTTACACAAAAACTATCAGTGCATCCCCTACCCCAAAGGAAACCACCTCCAGTTCTTTTCCTTTCTCAGTGATGTAAGTATGTTTCTTTCTCACGGTGGTTTTAGATGTTATTCTTTCCTATTATGACAAAGGGAATTTTTAAGTCTCTTATGTCCCCTCCTTCCAATTCTTCCCCTCTTCCTAATACTAGGCGGGGGGAAAGTTTCCTTTGTGTACAAGTCCACTGATAGCCCTCCACTCACAGTCTAGTCCTGAGGATATATTTTTATTGATTTTGAGATAAAGAGAGAAAATCGATCATTCATCGGTTGCCTCCCTGACCAGGAATGGAGCTTGAAACCTAGGCATATGCCCTGACTGGGGATCGAACCAGCTACCTTTTGGTATGCAGGTTGATGCTCTAACAACTGAGTCACCCCGCCAAGGCTTAGAAAGCAGGGTTCTGTACTGCAGAACTTGTCAGAGCCTTTGATAGGCAGAGTGAATCTTTAAGGAGGGAGTGGCAATGGTTATAGTATACAACTTTTCCAAACAAACAAAAACATTTTTTTTTCCCAAAGCATTTCCTGGACCTCTGTTCCCCCAGAGTGGGCAGGGAGTCATGCTGTCAGTGCCTGTCTGCTCATCACCTGCAGCAGAGTGGGCTGGTTTCAGTACACTCACTGCAAGAACCCACGAACGTGCAGATTCTTGAGTACCTTCCGAGACTTCGATCCTGTACATCGTGGATAGGCCCTGGGCATCTGAATGTTTTTAGGAAGTTTGCTTAGACAAGTTCAAAGACCCCTGGGCCTTACAGCCCAGCCTAAACCTCACCCCTGGAGGCGTCATAGACAAGATAATGTGTGTATGTGAGTGAGCATGAGTTACACTATAAGATTGGCATACTGTGTGTAGGCACATATGAGTACCTAAATGCATGTTTATTTGTGGGTGTAATGCTGTTGGTGATTGTGGGAGTGTGCCAAAAATCAAGATAAAATCAGTGGGAACTTCCTACTGTGTTCCAGAAACCGAAGGAAGATGGAGTTAAACTTTATTTTTTATAAAGTTTTAAAAAAATATTTTATTGAGTTTTTACAGAGAGGAAGGGAGAGGGATAGAGAGCTAGAAACACCGATGAGAGAGAAACATTGATCAGCTGCCTCCTGCATGCCCCCCACTGGGGATGTGCCCGCAACCAGAGTACATGCCCTTGACTGGGATCGAACCCGGGACCCTTCAGTCCGCAGGCCGACGCTCTATCCACTGAGCCAAACCGGTGAGGGCTGGAGTTAAATTTTAAAAAGGATGAAAAGAAATAAGGTTTGGAAGCTAAGAAGTTAGGATCGAGGGATGATAAATCAGGGAGGAATGAAAGCAAATCAAGCGAGGTGAAAAGACACCAGATGGGAAAGAAGTTGGGGTGAAAGTTCAGAATGGAATAAAAAGAACCCGGACTCAGGTGCAGCAAAAATCAGGCTGAGATAAGAAGCTGCTTGGCTACCCTCACCCGCAGCCGCTGCCCCTCAGATGAAGCAAATTACGTAAGGGCAAGGTGCTCTCTTGGCTCAGCACCATCTAATAATAGATAAGTAGCTTTTCAGGGAGGCGTCTGTTGCCCAGCGAGGCTTAGTAGGCTGGAGCAAAGAAGATGCTTAAAAATAAAATCAGGACTTAAATGTCTCAAGAGGTAAGTGGGCCACGACGGGTGTTGAAGAAGAAGAATCATTCAGAATTCAATATACAGAGTGCTCTGCAGCTGTTTGGAGGATTGGGGATCTCCACCAGCAAATTGGTGTTAGGGGATCCTGACTGACTCCAAAAGAAAAGCAAACCAGTGGCACTGTGTGAAGGATAACCAGTTACCTTGCAGAGGAACGCTTTGCTTTATTGAAGACCTGAGTGAATGGGAAGTGTGCAGGGTGAAGTTCCTTCACTCCCAAACTGTAGCAAATTTTACAATGGTGAAACGCTACAAATGAGCCCATTAAAGTCAGGAGTCTGATAAGGACGCCTTTGGGTATCCATATTGTTCTGAAAATGCAAGCTAGTGCAGTAGGCAAGAGAAACAAATAGGGAGTGTTCATGTCTGAAGGAGGTAGTAATTAACTTGAAAACTATTAACAACAGTAAGAGAAACCCTGTGGGTATCTAATGAATATGCTAGAAACAGTGACTAAGTGGGTGAGAGCAAATAACGGATCATAGAGATCTCATTGAGTACCGGTGTGCAGGGCTTGCTGGTAGGCCCGCGGTGGTTCTCAGCCTTTCTGATTGCGACCCTTTAATACCGTTCCTCATGGCGTGGTGACCCCCAACCATAAAATTATTTTCGTTGCTACTTCATAACTGTAATTTTGCTACTGTTATGAATCGTAATGTAAATATCCGTGTTTTCTGATGGTCTTAGGCTCTACAGAGCGGTTCTCAGTCTGTGGGTCGAGACCTGCTGAACAGTGTTTCCCAAACTTCTCTCAGATGAGAATCACCTGGTGGAGTTGTGAAAATACAGATTCCTGAATCCCAACTAAGAAGTGCTAAGCTAGAATTTTTGGGAACACATAGGTAAAATTGTATACGTTCCCAAAAATTCTAGTTTAGCATTTCTTAGTTGGGATTCAGAAATCTGTAGTTTCACAACTCCACCCGGTGATTCTCATCGTGAGAGAAGTTTGGGAAACACTGTGCTAACAGGTTGAGAGAGGAACCGTATTAAAGGGTCGCGGCATTAGAAAGGCTGAGAACCACTGTATTGGGGCTGTGAGAGTCTCAGGTGAGTAAGATTACCCACTTTCAGGAGGCTCATGGTTTAACTGTGGAAACAAAGCTGTGCTCTTGGGCAAAGGACAAATCATACCCCAGAATCCGTGGCGGTTTAGTCCTTTGCCTGTGGTGTGTGTGGCTGGTCAGTGCTAAAGAGAGGAATGTGGTTGGGTTGGGGTGGGCGGGTCAAGGGTGTCAGTAGGAGGGGTTTGAGAACATCTCCAAGAGGCTCCCTGGATCACTAGCTGTCTGAGGGAAGAGCTCTGTGGGTCTTGTCCCCAGTTTTAGGCATGTATACACAGTGGATGCTACCTGGCAGGCCCCCAGGACTTGTTGGAGGGAAGAGGGGTGAGGGAGGGCAGAGGAGGTGAGAAGAAGAGGGAGAGGGGTGAGGGCCTGGGAAAGAATGTAGGACAGACAAGTGTGGGAGACGGCGAAGGGCATTTCAAAGGTGCCAGTGCCAAGGAGAAGGTGGGCGATACCTGGGGACAGTGATGAGGGTGAGGCCAGGGCTGGAAGGGCCATTTGAGGTGGGAGGAAGGTGCCCTTGCTCTCTGGCTGGGGAAACCTTGCAGGTGTAGGGTGCCAGGGGAAGGGTGGAGGTGGGCTGGGCAGAGGGCTTGTTTGGAGAGCGGGGGCAGGGTGCTGACCCAGCCTGTGGGGTCCTGCCCTGAGCCCAGTGACTGCGCTGTGTGCTCAGACTGTGGCACCCACTGTGTCTCCTGGAAGCCTACGGGAGCGGCGGAGGCTCGAACTTTCTCCCGATGGGCCTTTGTGTTGCTAGTCCATCCCTTCTTCCCTCCCCTTCTACAGGCTCCACCATCCTGGCAGAGCGGGGCATCCCATCTCTTCCCTGCTCCCCCGCCTCCACACCAACCTCGCCCAGTGCCCTGGGCAGCCGCTTCTCTGACCCCCTGCTCAGCACCTGCAGCTCGGGACCTCTGGGGAGCTCTGCTGGCGGTAAGTGGGCTGGCCCTCCAGGTCGGTGGTGTCTGTGCCAGGCCTCCTCCCCCCGAGACCCTGGCCAAGGAAGGCATGCCATTTCTGTGTCAGGGCCGGGGCCCTGGAGGAGCAGGAGTGGCCAGTGAACCCTCGTTGGAGGCGATTTCTGGGTGTATCCCCTCTATCCCCTTGCAGGTTACCTTTCTCCAAAGGACTTTTTTAGCCTACAGGGTGTACCAAAGGATAGCTCAGGCGGAGCCTGCCGTAAAAGATTTTGGGCCCCCTTTTTTTAAATTTAATTTAATTAAAAAATACTTTATTGATTTTTTTACAGAGAGGAAGGGAGAGGGATAGAGAGTTAGAAACATCAATGAGAGAGAAACATCGACCAAGTGCCTCTTGCACACCCCCTACTGGGGAGGTGCCCGCAACCAATGTATATGCCCTTGACCGGAATCGAACCTTTCAGACTGCAGGCTGCCGCGCTCTCCCCTGAGCCAAACCGGTTTTGGCATGGACCCCTTTTTTTCTCTCCCCCGCCCTCCTCCATCCCTACTTCATGGACACCCTGCTGGTCGGGGAGCTGAGGGGCCAGCAGAGGGGCTGCCCAAAGTGCATCCTCTCCCCTTGTGTCCAGGAAGTTGGGGTGTCAGAGTAAACAGGTAGATCTGATAACTGGAGGGGAGGGAGGGGGGGGGGGACAAGAGGCCGGGGGGCTCCCTTCCCGTGAACCTGGGGCTGGACTGGACCGAATCTCCCTTGCCCGGTGTCTCCTTGCCTCCAGGGACAGCCCCCAACTCGCCGGTGAGCCTGCCCGAGTCGCCGGTGAGCCCGGGCACGGGCCAGTGGAGCGACGAGTGCACCATTTGCTACGAGCACGCGGTGGACACTGTCATCTACACGTGTGGCCACATGTGCCTCTGCTACGCCTGCGGCCTGCGCCTCAAGAAGGCCCTGCACGCCTGCTGCCCCATCTGCCGCCGCCCCATCAAGGACATCATCAAGACCTACCGGAGCTCCTAGCCCGGCCGCCCTCCCCGCGGGCCGCCGCCCCGGACTGCAGCCCGGCGCCAGCGGAGGGGCAAGCCCCGGGCCCTTCTCTTCCTCCTCGTTTTGGAAACTTCTTTTCCCTTCTCCATTAAACTCGGGAAACTGAGGCCCCTGAAAGCTTGGGGAGGAGAGGGGTATCGTACAGGTTTGGGGGCAGAAGCAGATGGCCCAGCAGAGGGGAGGGGAGGAGTCTACGCTTGGTCTGCCTTTCCCTTCTCCGTGCTCGGCTCCTCCCCTCATGCGGGGGGGGGGGGGGGGGGGGCTAAATTGGGGCACCGGCCTGTCCTAACCCTTCCCCATCTGGGACCGACTGCTAGCCCCTGGGGCATCTTTGTGAGGATTAGAAGGCGTGTCCCTTCCTCCGGGCAGGTGTGGCCCCGGGCCAGGCCGTGGGGCTCGGCTGGTGGAGCGTGGACCGGACATCAGTTTGCTCCCTCCGCCAGCGGCCCTTGAGCCGTGCCCGGCCTGCTCCACGGCAGCCCTGAGCAGGTGGCCCCCGAGCTGCTTGCTGCCTTACTCTGCCCTGCTCTCACCTTCTCCGTCTCCTCCCTGCCCCTCGGGCCTGGACGCCAGGGGAAGGCAGGCCGCCGGAGGCTCCAGGCCCTTAGGGTCTGGCCCCGGGCCCTGGCAGAGATGCAGAGGGCCGTTTCCCAGCCACAGCCTTTCTGCCCCGATCATCTCGCCCCCTGGCTGGCTGGAGAGCAGGGCCTGTCTTCTGTCAGGGTCTGTGAGAACAGGTCTGCATCTCCTCTCTGTGACTGTCCCTCCCTCCCTGCCGTCCTGGGCCTGGCGGACGCTCAGACGTGGAGTGTCCCCAGGCGAGGTCGGGGCCCCGGGGTGGGGGCAGGGAGGTTTCCTGGAGTAGGACCACCTCTTTTCTTTATTGTAATTTATTTATTTATTTGGTTTGTGGGGTATTTTTTTTTTTTTTTTTTTTGCGGGGGCAGGGAGCGAGTTCCCACCCTTCAGGCCCCTAGAAACGCTGCCTGGTGTGTGTGGATTGAGAGGGGCAGCGTTTCCCAGGCTCCGGCTGAAAGTCCACAGTCGGCTCTGCTTACCATGAATTGGAACTCCTTCAACAGGGGCTGCATTGGAGGCCTCCCGGTGGATTGTGCCCATTTTCATATGCAAATTGAGCCTCCTTAATTCTCTGGACTGGTGGGTCACTCGGAGCCTCAAAGTGCCCCTCCTCCTTGGGCTGGAGCAGGGTGGCACAGTCAGCTCACACCGGCAGGAGGCCTAAGCTGCCCCCTCCACAGGACACAGAGTTCTGGGAAGACCGAAGGAGGGGAGCCCCGCTGGGGCCAGGGAACAGGGCTGGGGAGCCGGTGAGAGGCAGGGAGTCTGTTCTTAGGGGAGATGCTCCATCCCCAGGAAAGATGAGAGGGGTAGGGACAGGGTCCCAGCGCCTCCGGGTTCTTATTCCTGGTTCTGGGGTGAGGGAGTGCCCCCCACGTGCTCTTAGGCCTCGGTCACCTCTGCCCTGCTCGCCCTGTGCTGACAGGCCATGGGCTGGGGCCAGCTTTCAAGAGTTTCAGCCTGGTCTCCCCCCAGCCTCCCAGCCCTCTGCACCTCAGCTGCCGCCTCTGTAAAGTGATCGTTTGGGGAGGAGCAAGGCTTTATGTGACTTAGTTCTTTGGTGAGGGGCTGTGTGGGGTCTGTCCCAGCCTTGCAGTGGGTCTTGGAGAAGTCCTAGTTCTGCTACGGGTCTCCCCAGTCTCTGACCCCTGGTGACCCCTTCGGTGGGGGTGGGGACCCTATTCAGTCAAAGGATCCATTTCAGAGGTAAGTACAGGGGCTGCCTGACCTGAAGTTTGGGGAGAGGAAGCCACCCACCCACCCACCCACCCACCCATCCATCGTCTGTTAGTGTGGGGTAGTTATTGCCTCCTTTGTGAACTTGGGTCGCTGTGATTGTGAATAAAGGTGATTTGTACCAGCCTGAGGGCTGTGTTGTGCAGTTTGCAGGGCTGGGGAGGGAGGGCCAGTGTGTGTGTGTGTGTGTGTGGGGTGAGTGTGCATGCAGACTCACCCCACACACACAGACGGGGGCAAGAATTCCATGTGAGCCTTGTAAGCTGAAAGGGAGAAGCCATGCCCTTTGGTAGCTCAGGTCTCTGGATTGTTGAGCAGCAGTGCTTATTGGGGCAGCAGCAGGAATCCATGAGGCCTGCTCAGCTTTCTCTTGGCTGAGCTGAACCCATACCTGGACCACACCTTGTGGGGTGGTAGCACCACCTAGTGGCTAATGGAAGGATGACAGAGTGCTGAGTTCCTAGAACAGGGTCTCCCATCCCTTGCCCCTGCACCCCAGCTGAGCTCCAGAGACAGGCCTCTGGCCTGAGACCTTTATTTTATTTTTATAATATATTTTATTGATTTATTAGAGTATAGAGAGCTAGAAACATCGATGAGAGAGAGTCATCGATCAGCTGCCTCCTGCACACCCCCAACTGGGGACGTGCCCGCAACCAATGTACATGCCCTTGACAGGAATCGAACCTGGAACCCTTCAGTCCGTAGGCCGACGCTCTATCCACTGAGCCAAACTGGTCCCGGCTGGCCTGAGACCTTTAGAGAAACTTTATAGATGAGCACGATCGGCTGATTGCAGAGCCTGGGTATGGCAGATGGATCAGGACGGCCCAGCCCTGTTTGTTAGATTTCAAGAGTTGGGAGGGTCAGAGGCGTCTCCTCCCCCACCTCCTGCATCCCCAGAGGACATGGATCCTGTAGTTCACTCTACACTGGGGATTCTTTTGCCCTTCAGCTGGATGGGTTTTCAGGCATTAAGGAGAATCAAGAGGTGATTCTGTTGAGTTAGAAAAGTCAAAAACTTTATTTAATTTTCAGGGAAATACAAGAAGATGCATGTAAACATAAAATACAAAACAAAACAACCCAAATCTTACAGTCTAGAAGCATGCCAAGTCATAGTATTTCTGCAGACCAAAGAGTCCCGTCAAAACGATAAAGGACACCTGGGAAGGTAAGGCCAAGGAGCTGGATCCCTTCCCCAAGGACACTGCATTTTTGTGATGAGAACAATAAAAACACCCCACTGTTAAAAATAACAGAAACATGGAGATAGTTTAGCACCACCGTTGATCCTGGAAATTTTTTAGTGCTCAAATAGACTGCATTCAATCTAATGTCCTTTCCTTCAGTTTCTCTGCTGAGGGGAGTGGGGGGAAGGAAACAACGTGACCCCCACAGAGCCCACTGTGATCTGGGGGTGGGAGGAGGGTTAACTCTGAGAAATCCCCCCGAGTTCTGGAGCTGAGGCACCAAGTTCACATGCAACCATGCAGTCCACAAACCCACACTTCAGAGACCTGCCACTCATGGGTCACCCTCCTGTGAACCTCTCAGTAACTGACCGTGAAGCCCCCTCCCATCCTGTGTCCTGCACTTAAAGAAAACCTGTCTCAGAGAACAAGATGCAGATTCAAGAACGGCAGCTGCTTACCCTCCTTTCTCCGAAATAAACACTTAAGAGCAGTGTGTCTTGGTCACAGGCCACTAAACATGAAAGGGCACATCCATGGATGAGTGTGCACTAGAACAGCCCCCTCACCTCATCTGCTGAGTCACACCAGCGGGCAGGCTCAGCCAACTGACCAACCACAGGTACCATCAGAGACACCTAAGAACCAACAAGGCTGCCTTCCTCCGAGGGGCTTGATGGTATCTGGACCCAGAGGTTCCCGTTTGGGGATGGTGGGTCTCCAACTACATGACCCATTTGGTCTCTAGTCTTTGATTTAAACAATTTGAGAGGTCAGCTGTGGATAAGACAAAAGGTGGGAAAAACCAGTGGGGAACCTGGGAGATAGATGACTATTCTGGGGCCAGGACCTCCAAACTCAAAATACAAGTTGTTGCTGGTGACTTACTCTCTCCACTGAGTACACAGTGACCGTTCATGAAGAACCTGCTAGGGACCCAGCTTGTGGCACAGCAAGTAGCGTTTCCTCTGGCCAGCTTCTGCTCCAGCCTTACTTCCAACCTGGTCTGGCTGGACCCTGTGTGTGTGTTGAATCACTAAATTCCCTTCCTACCTGCTCTCTTCTTCCTGAAACACTCAGAACCAACTTCTTCCTTCTTTCTAATAAAGACAAGTCTCCAAACACTCTCTCAGCTTTCTCACACGTTCCCCTTTCTAGACTCCCTCTCCTAGAAGCCACCTTCCCAGAGAGGGACAGTCAGCTCCAGACACCCAACCAAGCCACACGTGCACAGACTCATCTTGCCGACATGCCTCTTGCTCGCCTCCAACATGCTCGATCCATCCTTTTGCTTTAAGACAATTCTTTTCCTCTCTTTCGCTTCCTGAAGTCCAGCCCCATTAGCCAGGATGAAACGGGGGGTGCAGAGGAGGGACCCTTTAGCGTAGGAACCCATTCTCTAAGGCCACTAAGTTCTAGGACTCGGGTGGGTGATTGTCAAGGTCAAGTGCAAACTCAAGATTAGAAAGACAGGAATGGGTCAGGAGGATCGCATGGCAATCTCAACCTTACAGGCAGGTTGGGACCAGGCCTGCCCAGTCTACAAGCACCCATGTGCCCAACTTCTTGTCCGAGAGCCCTGGTGCACAGGACAAAACAGGAGGGAAGCTCACATCAGTGGGGTTGCTTTTCCTGAAATAAGGCAATAGGTCACTGACCCCATCCTTCCCTGGTCACAGAGCATGAGAACCACAGAGGCTGCCCCACACAGGGATCATGGTTTTGGCAGAAATCTCAGTAAGGTCATGGGGAACCCTTCACACCAGTCCCATCGAGTGTCTGGGCCCCAGGTCTAGACAGGTGCTGATGTACACACACGTGCAGGTCTGCTGAGCTCACTGTGAGCGAGTTCTCGCCCTGGTCATCCTCACAAACAAGAGCTGAGCCGCCCCCCCCCCCCCCCCCCCCCGGTGATGACATGCATGGCCATGGGTGGGAGTCGGCCTGCCGCACGGCGCGCTCAGCGGCATTGCTTTTCCACAACTTTATTTGGGAGCTGGGACGATGGCCTAGGCTGCTTCTGCTAGATCTGTTAATGCCAGTGTGAAGTTTCCAACTAAATACTTAAAATAATTACAAAAAAAAAAAAATTAAAAAGACACATTGCACTCTCCAGCCAGAGTTACGTGTGTGAATCACACACACTTGCTGCCAGAAGCTGTGAGTCCCGTGGGGCCTGCCCAATGCTAAGGACTGTACAATGGAGACAGCGTGCCCGCTAGTTTTCTCTAACCCCATTCTATTTCATTCCAGTGGGAAATCTCTCTTTCTCTCTCTCTCTCTCTCTCTCTCTCTCTCTCTCTCTCTCTCTCTCTCTCTCACACACACACACACACACGTAGGCGTGCACACACACTCCCTCAACACACAGCCCTCAAAAAAGTGAGGGAATCTTAATTCGTTATGTGGATGGTTCTCTTTTCCAGAGAGCTCTGCGTCAAGATTTTCAAAGGTTGGACATAGATGTGGACACGCCAAGGGGAGAGGCCCACACACGGGGCACAGTCCACTTGGCACACAGATCCATGTTTGTACAGAAACGCACCAAACGGGGTGGGACGGCAAGCGTACAGTACTGCAGGTGGAGGGGACAAGCCAGCCAGGGTGTCCCCGGAGCCGAGGAGCAGGGCTTCAAGGGCTGGAACCCAGAGGCCTCCCACCCTGCTGCTTCCTCTGCCTGTGCCAACCTAGGAGGAGGCCACTTTGGTACCTGTTGTGGGCTGTTCTGTCCGCAGAGACCTGGGTAGGCCCCTCAGCTGCTCTTCCGAGACCCTCTGGGTACCGAGCATTGGGGTGCTGAGCAGAGGCAGGGCTCACTCCTCGGCTGGAGTCACTGAGATGAATGGGTGGCCCAGGTCAGCACCAGGCCCAGCTGCAGGCTTGTGGAAACTGGTGTCTCACGGGGATACGCAGGGTTGAAGGCACCCACCTCCCCCAAAAAAGGATTTGGTTACATCTAGGGTTCCTGCCCGTGAATTGAACTGAGGTTACGTAGTTTTAGAAAAGACTCAAACATACATCCAAAGGATCATGGCCCAAACATCAGGAGGCTGGGGCGAGCGAGGGCTGGTGAGTGACTTTCGGGACAGCTGGCTGGAAACAACGGAAATGAAAACAAGGAACCGTTCCTGGATGTCCTTGCTCTGCTCTGAGGTCAAGAGCCCCATGCTACTTCCCTGAATCCCTTTCTTGTGGGTGGATGACACCCAACAGCAAAAGGGGCTGTCCTCTGGCAGGGACCCTGACACCTGGCCAGGGAAGGGGGACAGGAGAGGAGGGACAAAGATCAATAACCTGGACCACCTGTCTGCTCCACAGCTCCCACTTCTCCCAGCAGCCCCGCCTCCCTCTATGGACAGACTGGGCCACCGGGTCTCCCGTCCCCGTCCCCACAAGCCCTGGCATCCCTCTTGGTAATATTGCACGTTTCCTGTCTCTCAGATTGTTTTCATTTTCGATTGAGAATGCAAAGTATTTGAAGGGAATAGGGGAAGTGAGTAACCTTAAAGAAATAATATATTAGTTAAATACAAAAAACAAGAAAAGTAGGGGTTACCTTATCTTTTTTTCCCCCTTAAAAACAAAACAAAACAAAAACTACCAAACCAAGGTCTAAACTTAAATAGTTCTACATCTACTCTGCAAATACTAGTAATAGGAAAATAATGCTTGACCGAAATTCCCTTGTCTTTTTTTCCTTAGATGATAAGGGTAGTAACATGCCTTGCTGAGGAAAGCGATGGATAAATGCCAGTAAAATATGCTGCTCTAACATCTGAAAGTGATTAAAATGATCCTATATAATGCCTTCGTCAATAATGGAGAATGGAGGAGGAACAAAGAGATGCTGTTGGGGCCAGGCTCAGGGTGGATGGGGGCCAAGGGCTGGCAAGGCAGGGTCCGGCCACAGCGAGGAGCAGATGGCACACCTGCTGTTCGGGGTCACCCTCTTGCTGCCCCTGTGGTCCCTTGGCCTAGAGGAAACAGCATGCAGGGCCAGGAAGCCCAGCCAGGCCCGCTATTATAAAGGGAGAGAGAAGAAGACATCCCTCCGCCCCCATAAAAGAAAAAGTCTTTCAACAACAAAAAAGCACCAATGATGCATCTTCAGGCATTATATAAACCTCAATAATGACCTCAGAAGGGCTCATTATGATTAAAGTTGCAGTATACAGCCACACAATGTCATTTCACATTTTTAATCGTAACTAATGGAAAACTAGGTTTGGACACCGCTGAGATTTCATTTTTCTTTTTCCTTTTTTAGGCGCATCTGGTTTTCCTCCAGATGGGTCTGAGCCCCAGGCCCCTCCCTCCTCCACCTGCTGCCAGCAGTACCCTCCGGCATCACAAAGCAGCTCAGTAGCTCTAGGGAAAGGCCCTCTTGCCCTGGATAAGGGCTAGGGATCCAAGGGCACAAGGCCTGGCATCGCCTAGCCGTGTCTGAGAGGGACTGGCATGCACCCTTTTGTTGATTCAAGTATTAATATTCTCTTTCGGTTTGCAGGATTTGTGCTGTGAATTAAGGGGGTGATGGTGAGGGGGCGAGAGGCAAAGATGGGACATGGCAATCCCTATTCGCTGCCCAAATCTCCATGCTGTCACCAGGTGGCAGCATTCCCCACTTTCCCAGGTTGCCTGAGCAACTCCCAGCCATCCCCGGGGCTGGATGTCCCAATGTAAACATGATGACCACACAATAAGCTCAAGGGGGGGGGTGGGTAGGAGTGCCAGGATGGATGCCGTGGGGAAGTCTGCCAGTAAACGTAGCTACGTGATTTTGGGAGTCACTTCCTGTTCTTGGGCTGCAATCACAGGAGGGGATGGGATGGAGTGACCTTTGAGGTCACTTTTAATGACCATCATTTAGAGCACTGGGGATCAAGGATTGAGAGTCCCCGAGAGACAGGGGAATGTGGGCGCTGGTGGTGGTGGAATAGAGCCCCACAGGGCAGTACAGACAGTGAGGAAGGGCAGGGAAGGCAGACTCCGGGGAGCACTGTGGTCCAGTCCAACTGAGATGCTCTGTGCTTGGCAGATGCGTCCTACACTCCTTCCTGGCCTGGCTGTCACGTTAGGATCGAACTGGCTCAGTGCAGACATCTGAGGAGTGAGGCCGCTGGGGCCCTCCCCCTGGAAGATAGCTACGTGGAAGGTCCTTGAACCCGACAGTCACTCTACTTTTAAATTTTATTTTAAATAATCATAAATTACTTTTTTTCTTCTTTCAATAAATATGTGCTGCTTAAAAAATGAGAAAAGTATATACTGCATCTTTAAGTAATGCACTTTGCTCTCTGGGTTTCTTTCCATTCCACCTTATTAAAGTGCATTAATTAAAAAATAATGAACCACTTCTTTATCATTATTGTTCAAAATAAGTCCAAATAATATTAATAGGAAGACACTAAAACCACTACCATTAGTACTGCCATCTAGCAGATTAACTCAACATCCTGCTCTATTTAATACTGTCCAGCAGAAGAAAATAACTAAATTTCCATTTTAAACAAACTCACAAAAACAAAACAAAAAAAAAGGAACGAGATCTCACCACCACGGCCCTTGAACAGAGAACACGAGCAGTTGGCGTTAGCTGCCAGGCTTCAGTGTAGGGGAGGAGGACGGCCAGGAGGGGGTGCACGGGGCACGGAAGGCACCAGACCCGGGTCCCATGCTCCTCTTCAGGCAACGTCTCCGTCCTGGCTGGGAAGCAGGTGGAGGGAGCAAACACCAACCCTTGTCCAGGATGCTGGCAGCGGAGTCAGTGGCCGTGAAGCCTGACCTGTCCAAAGTCAAAGGCACGTGTGGAAATCCACTCCCAGCAAAGGGCGAGTCCCCGGGAAGCCACCCGGCTCCCCTCGGAAACGTCAATGATCGAAAGACCCCAAGTGGACGGGGACTTGATTCTCTCGCTTCTCTCTTCTTGGGGGCGCTGCCCCTCGGGACGACCAGGCAGGCTCCTGGTCTGGGGTCCTCCATCTCCTTGGTCCCTGTGGCATCGCCGGCAGGCTGGTGGTGTTTGCTCCAGTCTGGCCTGGGGGCCCAGGGTGGGGTCCCCCTCGGGCTCTCGGTCCTGCCCGGGTGGGAGACTGTGCACAGAATGGCGGTCACCCAGCAGCCCGAGAGCCGCCTTCGCTCCTGAACAAGACCCTCCTCCCCCGGGGCTGGGCACGCCCCCGAAGGCGAGTCTGGGAGCGGGGGCTTCTCGGCCCCCAACCCCTCAGACACTGACCACACAGTGGAAACCAAACGAAACGACTCCAGCTTGTGGAGGGGGGGCATGTGAAACCCAAACACCAACCAACCTCCCACAAGAGTGTGGCAGAAAAGCCCACCCACCCCCATCCCGTCCCCTGCGAGGCTGACCGTCCTCAGGCCCCCAAACAACCCCTAAAATAAGACCAAAACCCGGGGCCCAACCGAGAAGCCCCAAATCAATAATAATAAAATAAAAAAACCCTCTCCCAAAACATGCAAAGAAACTGCCCACCCGGAGATATCCAAAATAAAGTCTGTGCAGCCTGAGAGAGACCCCCGGCTCTGCCGTCCTCTGTAAATGGGGCTGGTGGGTCTCCATGGCCCGGCCATTCTCAAGGTCAGTGACAGTGAAGGAAGGCGGCCAGAGGCGTCTTCTACAATCCCCACCACTGGCACAATTCGCCATTACAGTGAGGAGGATGCCCGGGCCACCCCTGGTGACAAGCTGCCAGCCACTGGAACCGGGCGAGGCTGGGGCAGGGCACGGAGGCCCCTAGGACCACATCCTTGCCGGATGTGCAGCCAAGGCACAACTGGGGCTTCCCACTGGCCTGTCCCAGGTGGTGCTGAGCCCATCAGTGTAGTCCCCAGGGGGCACACATGGGGCTCAGCCGTCTCACCTCTGGTCTCAGGCCTCCTGCTCAAGGCAGCCCCACCAGACCCTCCCTCCCAGCCAGGGGCAGCCTGGAGGCAAGTGTCCTTGAGGTCACACCTTCGGCAGGGTTTAATGTTGCCCTCCCCCCATCCCCTTCCCCTCCCCCCTCCCCCCTCCCTCCTCCCCATTCCCTATTGTCTACGTCTCACCACTCATCCACACTCAGGCCGGAAGGACCCATGCCCCCCGTTAGTTCTTTTTCTCCAGGTAGTTGGAGGGCACCCAGCCTTTGAAGGGCTTCACCCCGTCTAGGATCTGGCAGTACCACCAGCCGTTGGGGTTCCTCTCCAGGACCTCCATGGACACCCCCTCCTGGAAGCCCGCGGTCTCCTCGTCCCCCTCGTAGTCTGCGATGGACACGTACACGTCCTTGAGGTTGTTGTGGATGAACTGGGACTTCTCGATGGGCTTGGGGCGCACGGGGGACACGGGGATGCCGTTGCGCTGGGCGGGCAGCAGGGGGCTGTCCGAGCCCTGGCTGGCGGCCCGCTCGGCCAGGCGGCCCTTGGCCTCCGCGGCCGCCGCGCGGGCGGTGCTGAAGGAGGAGTTCCGGCGGACGCCCCGGAGGCCGTCGCTGGCCGTGAGCGACTCGTTCCTCCGGAGGGCGCAGGACAGGTTGTTGTCCTTGGGCGGCGGGGACACGAACACCGACTGGGGCCTCACGGCCACCTGCCGGACCCCATTCCTCATCTTCACCGCGCCGGCTCCCGAAGCCTTGCCGAAGCCCCCGGGCGGCTTGGAAGGGATGGGCGGCGTGGCCCTCTTGCTCTGGTTGACGGTGTTCAGAGCCTGCACCCGCTTCTCGATCTTCTCCAGGCTGTCCGACTTGCCCTCCTTCTGCTTGCCCTTGGCGGTGACTGCATCCGGCTCCTTGCCCGAGGGGTCAGGCGGCTCGTTCTCCCCCAGCACCAGGTAGTGGGAAGGGGCCCAGCCCTCCGACTCCCCAAACCTCACGTACCACCAGCCGCTTTCCAGCTTCTCCAGCACCTGCACCTCCACGCCCGCGGGGAAACTGATCTCCGAGTCCTGGACCTTCTGGTAGGCGCTACACGTCACGTAGGAGGCGGCCTGCCCTTCCCGCCCCTTCTTGGCGGGACACGGGGGCGTGGCGGCTGGGAGGGTGATGAGGTCGGCCGAGCCTCTCCTGGACCCCTCGTTGGGGCCCTCGGAGGCTGTCTGGGGGGGCAGCTCCGAGTCCTCGCTCTTGGAGCCCTTGAGGCCCCCCCGGAGCTGGCCCGTGGGCCTCAGCTGGCGCCGTAAAGTGCTGATGTCCATCTTCTCCTGACTCTGGGACTCCGCCCTGTTCAGGAACGGCTTGGGCCGCACGGACGGCTTGGCCCGAGCACAGGAGGCCAGCCCGGCCTTCAGGTCCGCGTCCTTCTTGGCTCCGACCTTGGGGGTGCCGCGGATGCCTGCGTCCGAGGCAGAGCGGGGCTTCAGGTCGCCGCTGGGCTTGGACAAGGAGGAAGAGGAGGAGGAGGAGGAGGAGGAGGAGCAGGTGGTGTTGATGGTGATGGATGAGGAAAAGGAGGCCGAGGAGTGGTTCTTCCCCAGTTCCGCCGGGGCGTTTTTCTCCGCCTTGAGCTTGAGGAGCGAGGATGATTTGGGGGAGTCCGATTTGGGGGAGTTCTTCCTGGCAAGGGACAGGGGGGAGCCTCCTGGGGAGTCGCTGTCCCGGGAGGACCGCCGGGCGGACAGGGTGTCCTCGGCACAGGGCCGGAAGCCCTCGTTCTCGTAGATGGTCTCCTCTTCCAGGGCCACGTCTTCGGAGGAGCCGCCCACCTTGAAGCGGGCCCGCTGCAGGGAGGAGGCCGGCGAGGGCCTGCAGGGCTGGGCCAGGCGCTTGTCCCCCGAGCCCCTGTCCTCCGGGGGCTCCTCGCTCAGCTCCGGCTCCGAGTCGAAGCCAAAGGCAGGGATGTCATACTCGGGCTCTTCATATTTGAGCTTCAGCGGGGAGTCTTGGCTCTCGGCAGTGCCCGCCGGGCCCTCCTCGGCCTCCTTGGGCTTGCTGGGGGGCGCCGGCGGGGGTACCTTGGGCCGGGTCAGGGTGCTCGTGCGGCGGCTCAGGTTGGGCTTCTTGCGCTTGTCGATGTAGGACGCGGGGGCCCAGCCCTCCTTCTCTCCGATCTGCACGTACCACCAGCCGCCCGAGTTTTTGTCGATGACCTAGGGGGGAAGGGCGGGCAGGCCAGTGAGTTGGGAGGATCGCCGAGACCCTGTGATGAGCTGGGCTAGGACCATCATTCATACTGTAGCTCTGGGAGGCATTATCTCTATTTACAGGTGAGCCAACGGAGCCACTGAGTAAGGGGCCCACGGCCCCAACGTAGTTGAGTGATGGGCCGAAATTCAAACCTAGATCTCTATCATCTCCTAGCTTTGGCTGGGGGATGCTTCCAGTGTTCAGATCCCTCTCCCCTGCCCTCCAAGCCTCTCAACACGCCGGTAGGGCTGGCCTCCTCTCAGATCCGTTCCTTCTTCCCCTAAAGTTACTGTTTTTAGAAGAGGCACTGTACCCCAGTCCCAACAAAACCCAACTGCCAAGGACCCATATGTATAAAAAGAACCATTGCACCACTCCCTTCCGCCTCCCTCCTCCGGTACTGCTAGGTCTTCCCTGGGTGACCCTGGGAAGGGTCTCTCAGGTCGGAAGAGAATGGGAAGACACAGGTGAGGGGAACTGGGAGATGTGGCCTGAGGCCAGAGCCTCCCTAAGGAGCACAGCCCAGCTGTCCCCGCTGCCTGTGGTCATCTCACTGCCCTGGGCGGAGACAGCTGTAGTTCTCAGTTGTAGTCTTGACTGTGGCCTCACTAGCTTTATGGACCTTGTTTCTGCACCGGCCCTGCGTGCCCCCCAAGCACAGAACCAGGAAGACAGAGAAGGGCAACGAGGCAGGTCTCGGTCCAGCCTGAGGGCCCCACAGCTCACCTCTGCCTTCTGTCCACCCCGAAAGCTGATCCCGTCAGAAATGCAGGACTGGAATTCGGCAATGGTGTAGTACTCCACCTCCACAGAAGGGGGCTCTGGTGGCTTGGGCAGCTGGAACCCCTGAAGCAGAGAAGGACTCACTGAGTGAAACCCACCTGATCAGACGGTAACGGCAGTGAGCATGGCACTTACAGGAGTGGACAGCCGTTGACCTGAGTGTCTGTCGTTCCCTTCGCTAGGATTTCTAAGAATACCTAGGGCTCACTTGAGGCTTGTCTGAGCCTTCCAAACGATCATTTAGTAACAGTAATGTCCACTTTTCCATCTCTGGAGGTCCAGTTTTCAGAAGCCTCAACAGCTAGGTCCCAAAACAAAAAATTAAAAAAATGGAGAAACCATTGTAACCTAGTCTGTGTACACGGCCTTGCTGGAGAGGACAACCCCTGTTCTTAAGTCTAAAAGGGGAGCCGCTGGGTGACATCGGTCTGCAGGGGCAGAGCTGGGACACAGCCACCTCCACGGGTGGGGTGTGAGGGAGGGGGTGTGGAACTAGGTGAGAAGACCTCGTCTGGTCACCACGATGCTGCCACACGCCAGGCAGGCACTGATTACACCCGGGACCCTTCGCCGTGGGCCGTGGAACAGAGCCTGACTGTCTTCAGACGCTGGCACATCAATATCTCACCACGACATTCAAGGACATTTAGAATCTGGCTGTGGCCAATGACTTGTGAACCTCATTCATCTATTTTACAGATGTTTCCTAAGTGTCTACTGGGTGTCAGACTCTGGTCTAAGGACCTGGGCATCCAACAGTGAACCAAAAGGATGGCACCCCCATATGCCCTCACAGCACAGATGTTCTAGTTGCACCTGTTCTCTATCCTGCCCAAATGGTACTTGGTGCCTCTCCATTATGCCCCAGTATGTCCTTGTATCACACGAAGAGGTTAAAACAAAACATGTTTTGAATGGGATGTGTGTGGGGGAGACTGGGGAGGGGAAGTAGCTGTGTTGTGGCAAGAAGACCTCGAAAGACCTCGGCCTTGCAGCTGGGCACATGTGGGTTCCAACCCCAGCTCAGCAATTTACCAGCTGTACGGCCTTAGCCTTGACCTCACTGAGCCTCAGTTTCCTGACCTATACAATGCAACTATAACAGGCTCATTAAGAGGATTGCCGAGAGCTTGGCTGGTATGGCCCAGTGGTTGAGCATCAACCTATTAACCAGAAGGTCACAGTTCGATTCCCGGTCAGGGCACATGCCTGGATTTTGGTCTATAGGATTCTCTCTTATTAATGTTTCTGTCTCCCTCTCCCTTCCTCTCTCTGTAATCATATATATATATATATATATATATATATATATATAGTATCGTATCTCTGTAATCATATATATATATATATATATATATATATATATATATATATATATATATATATAATTTGATTACAGAGATAAGATACTAACTTCTGGTCCAGCCAGGGGCACAGGAAAAGTTCCATAAATAAAAGCCAAAGCTAAACACCCCTCCTGAAACACCACCCTATCCTCTGCCTTCATCCTCCTCCAAGGCTCAGCAAGTCCTGATCCGGCCAGTTACAGCTCAGCGGCCTGGGGTCAGAGTGAGCGAAGGTGGGAGGACTGGGGTCCCCTTTCCCTACCCTGGTGCCTGGCCCTCCAGCCGTGCATGTGAGCAGATGTGGCCCAGGCCCCAGCACAGCCCGGACCGTTGGCCAACTGGGATTCGGCCGGGCCTGGCTGGAAACAGCAGCCCTGCCTCAGCAAGCCCTGCATTTGGTAAGTGTGGAAGGAATTACCCCATTCCTGCCAAAATCAAGTCTGCCCAAACATAATTAGCTGGGCCAGAGAGAAATGGCAGGAAAGAACTCGCTGTTTAGTTGCGTAAAACACAGGGGAGAGGGAGACAGAAACTCCGCTGGGGCTGATGGCCAGGGCGAGGCGGTCCCATTTCCAGGGGCCAAATCTTCAATAATCCATATCACCGAAGGCCTGTGTCTCCAGGAACTGCCGCTACCCCCCAACCCTGGGCCAACGATGGCACCGATCACAGTGACCCTCGTGTTGGCCCAGATGTGACTCCAGAAATCTGTTTCCACACGGAGTCACAGGTAGTCCCAACGGTCCCAGCTGACACAGGGAATAAAACCTGGCCATCGCCACAGTACCCATCGTCTCATTTCATCCTTACGACAGCCCTAGGAGATGGCTGGTACTTACAGACGAGGAAACTGAGGCTTGGAGGGGGGCAAGCAATTCAGGGTGGAATATGAATCCACGCTTGGCAGACTCGAGCCTCATTCTTTCCACACATCTCACTGCCGCTGATAACGGTTCTCTGCTCTGGGGCTCTCGGCCTGCCACCAGCATCACCGCTGGCCCCAGCCCAGCACCCTGAGTGCACAGCTGTGTCCCCGGTGGTCTGGGTACCAGGAAGTCCCACCCACAGGTGCCAGGCACCCCAGTAGCACTGAGCATCTGTAATCTTCAGCATAAAAGCCAGCCCTGGCCACCGACCCTTGCTCCTGGAGGATGCTCACTGGCCTGCCCTCCGCCCTCCTGGCTCTGGCACCCACCACCTCCATCGGGCATTCCTAAGCCAGGAAGGCAAAGCTGAGAGGCATCCAGGCTCACATGGACAGCAGCTGTACTGCAAGCCCCTGGCAATGCCCTGGCTGGACACTCTCGCCGGCCAGTCTAAATGTTTATGTCTGCCAGTGCGGTGGCCGGAATGGATTTATTTAGCTTTGGAGTGCAGAGCGTTTTTGATTATAAACTGTCTAGCTAGGTCTCCCAAAAGGTTGGAATCTGAAGGCTTCCCACTCTGCCCCAAGGCCCACAGAGCTGAAGGCCCAGCGGGGTTCTGGGAAACCTCGGGACCAGCAGGCTTTGCAGCGCGACAGCCAATGGACTGGGGCCGCTGCAGCGCACGCACCCCCAGGAAGGGACCAGGACAGACGAGGTGTGGCACCTACCAGGCTGGATTCTCTGCGAGGTGGAGGCCTTGTCCTCAGGTTGGGGGAGCCTGGAAGAAGACACAAAGCTTAAAGAATGCCAGCCAGACGCTGGGCAACACGGCATGTACCTGCTTCCCTGGGCATACGCACCCTCTGGTTCTGGAAAATTCCTGCATGGACCCATGCTCTCACTTCCCTGGCTGAGCTGCCGGGGGACCCTCTGAGGTGATGTGCACGTTGTGAAATGTGCAGACCAGAGGAGGCATTTTTGAGGAGGAAGGGTGTATATAACTTTATCCAGGTAAAACGTTATCCAAGTGTGGAGCTTATTACTGAATCCCTACAAGCTGGCACAAGTCCAGGCGAGAGGAGATGCCCTCAGAACATTTCCCAACTGCCTGCCTAAAAGACGGCAGGCACAGAGCTGACTTCACCATGTTTAGAATCCAAACAGCTTTCCTCCAGATTTAAGGCCGGCTGGACACACACAGAAGCTCGTCTCTCGTAACAGAGGACAGTGTGACCCCCAAACGAAGGCTCTGTGAGCCAGCGACGCGCGAGATTCAGAGGGCGCCGGAGAGCCAGTCCCTCCTGTGCGAGGGAAGGAGATTCCTGAAGGATGTCCCTTAGAAATACACTTGTGCGGAGAGGTCAAGTCAGCCCGGCCGTGTCTTTCTGGTTTCTAGTAACTGGGAGAAAGCAATCGGGAAGGAGGGCCAGAAAGATGTTCCTCTAAGAACAAAGCAGCCTTGCATCTCCGGCTCATTTCACAGCTACACCCATCTACAAAGTGAGCACTCCTGGTTCCCCACTCGGAACGGGAATGCCAGCACCTTTGACACTCAGGGAATTTATCTTCAGTGGAGAGTGGGGAGGAATTGCCTTGTCCACTCCTGTAATTAGCGTGAGACAAGTGGGCAGAGTGAGGCTGGGGTCAGGGGTTGTCAATATGTCGAGAGGAAAATGATATGGGGGTCCTGCACACCCCTCTAGCTCTCCTGGCACCCCGTGCCCGCTCTATAAATTGCTTTGCAGCAAGGACCCGGGGCTCCGTGAGGCTCTTACTGATCTGGGCCCGCTGAGGGGCGATCCTGGCCACGGCCGGGGAGCCCTGGGCCAGCTTGGAGACGGTCCTCTCGGGGATCCCCAGGGCGCTGCCGTTGGAGGCGTTGCAGAGGATGGGCAGGCTGATCTCCTTCTTGGCAATGGGGACCTCTGGGCCCTCGCCTTCGGCTGGGGGAGTCTCTTTGTCCCCCGATGTCTTTTTGTTCAGCAGGTTGCTGATCTCCATGATGTTCCCGATGATCTCCACGGGGCCTGCCAGGTTCTTCTTCCGAGCCGGCAGGTCATCCTTGGCTTTCTTCAGGTAGGAGGCTGGTGCCCAGCCTTCTTTGCCCAGGTACCTATGGGGGGGCGAGCGGGACACGGGGCATTAGAGCACTGAGGCCTGACCTCACACCCCTCCCAGGCCCAGGCTCCAGTGGCCTTGCCCAGCAGAGCCTTTTCCATGGTGTCCAGCAGACACTTGGCATTCCCACTATTCCGGAGAGAACTGGAGTGGGCAGGTGGAAAAGACACCTAGAACACCACTTCTTCCCATCCCCTTGTTCTCTGTGATCTCACTTGGTGTGAGTTCTCAAACTCTGCAAAGTCAGGCAAATGTGGGACCTTCAGGTTAAAAGATTCCTCAACTTGCGGGTTGCCCGAAAGGTAGATTTCATAACAGCCTGCTACCCCGCAGTACGTAGAGGCCAATTGTAGAGATAAGAAATGAGAAGGTGTCTTGAGTTAAATGTCCTATTGGAAAGGAAAGTATTATTATCAGAGAGGCGAAGAGTTAGAAAACCCGAGTTCTGTTCTACGGCACCTTGGACAAAGTCCCTACTCAGGAGCTCAATTTCTTTCTCCTGAGCAAAAATGAAGGGAAAGCCCTAGTTGGTTTGGCTCAGTGAATAGAGTGCCAGCCTGTGCATTGAAGGGTCCTGGGTTTGATTCTGGTCAAGGGCACATGCCCGAATTGCGGGCTCGATCCCTAGTAGGGAGCATGCAGGAGGCAGCTGATCAATGATTCTCTCTCATCATTGATGTTTCTATCTCTTTCTCCCTCTCTAAAAATCAATTAAAAATATATATATTTTTTAAAATGCAGGGATAGAGTCACTGAAAAAACTTATCCAGAAGGATGAACATATTGAGACTAACCAGGAAGTTATCTCTAAAGAAGAGGGCCTCAGTAGGGGACGTATTGGTACCACGCAGAAATAGAAGACAAATCAAGTTCATAGAACAAGCCCACCAACAGACCAATGCTAAAAGGAACATTTCAAACTACTGAAGTAAGGATGGATTAGTCAGTGAGTAATTTGGAGACAACTGATTATCCAGCTAAGAAAAACAAGCGAGACCCTGGCCTCACACTGCATAGCAAAATAAAAATGCAAGTTGCGAATACTTGCATAATCTGGAGAGGTTGAGAATAAAGCACATGACTGGATAAAAGTAAAACCTCTGGTATGGTGAAAAAACAAACAAAATGAAAACAAAACCCCAAATCCCATAAACAAGAGGAAAGGCAAACGACAGGGCTGACTTAATTTTAGGTGATCCAATGACTCCTGAAAACAAGCTTTCCCCTCCGTAGGGTTGACTTCTACCCAAACCCACCAGGAGCTCATTTCCGCGTCCACCAGTTGTCCATGCCCCCGTCTGGGCTGTGCTGCCCCTGTCTGCTTCCCGGGACACATCTGGCTCTGTGGAACGGCTCCTCCAGGCCAGATGTCTGACAAGCCCCTCTCCCCTGCCTCTCCCTCGGACCTTGCTCTTGGGCACTCACTGGGTGGGAGAAAAAGGAATGTGAAAGAAGTTTCTATCCACATGCCTTGAGCTTTGCTGGAAAGCTCAGGTAGGGGTGGCTTTTCCCCACGGTACAAGCAGACAGGCTGACCCACGCTCGCCCATCTGGCTCCCTGTTTGGGGCCTGGAAGGCAGACATCAGTGAACAAATGATGAAAACCACGGAGCTAGCAGACAGAGGCACAGAATTCCAGGGATGGGTAGAAGCAACAACCAAGGCTCAGGAAAGCAAAGCAAGGAGCAGAGGGTCACACAGCTAGCTGGTGGCAGCGTCTGGCTCAGAAGCGGGAGCTCCCTCCTCTCGGAGAAAAGGGGAAGAGGAAGCTGCTGCAGGTGCTTTGCTATGAGAACTCTGGAGAGGTGGGGAGCAGGGTGTCACGGGAGTGACGGTCAGGCCAGCTCACTGGTCCGAGCGCTCCCGTTTCAAATCCTGTGTTCCTTCACTGTTACATGGATAAAATTAGATTCCAGGAGGAGAGCAGCGAGGGAATCAGGAGCGGCTGTGTGTGTGTGTGTGTGTGTGTGTGTGTGTGTCTGTGTGTCTGGGTCCAACTCGGCTCACATCTGCTTTCCAGCTCCGGAGCATGGAATGACTCCAGAGGGAAGCAAACTGGAAAAGGAGATGGAGGGAGAGGAAGGGAGGGGGTGTGTGGGGGGTGGGGGTGGAGTAGAAAGACAGGAAGTGAGGATCAACACAGAGCCTGGAATGTTGGGAAATGGCATATTTAAGGGGGTGTCTGGAAGCCTTCTTCTTAAGGTGGAACCCTTTCAGCAGGGCTTTCTCAGGGGAAGCTCCCGCTGGCTAAAGGGATAGACCGTGGGGATAAGAGTTGACTAGAAAAAGCAGCACAAAAGTGGCTTTATTGGTCATTTTAGAAAACGTAAAAACAAAAAACAAAAACAAAAAACAACAACAAAAGAAAACAAAAGCCAGCAGCGTTGTAGATAACCTTTCAGCAAGCAGGCCAGGTAACCAGCCTGCCGGACGGATCGTCGGCTCCCTACGCCAGACACACGGTTGTTGGACTTGGGCTTGGCTCCAGCTCCCACTGCCGAGAGCACGTGCACGTCCAGGGGCAGGGCTTTGGACAGCACATGTCCGGGCACACGGTCCTGACCTACCTCACCAGACAGACAGCGACACCTCAGCCCTCCTGACGGACAGGCAGCTATGTCCTGTCAGGTCACACTAACGTTCCATCCCATGAGACCCCTGACCTTCATCCTACCCCTCGGCACCGACCAATCTCAACACCATCAGCATCGGCCGGTCGGCGTGGTCTAAGCAACCATCTCGAGGGCCCGCATCACCTTGGCCAATCCTGTCCCCACGGTGGGAGACAGCCTAGAGCATGCATCCTGCCCACAGGTTCCCAGGTGTGGTGTGCTGGCGAGGTGGTCCCCAGAGCCCACAGATGTGGGGCTATCTCTGCCAGCCTGGTTACGGGCAGAGAAGAGAGAAGTTGGTCAAAATCGCCACAGCTGAGTAGGTCCCAAAGGAACCAAAACATTTCCAGAGAGGGAGGCTCCTGGAGGGTGGCGCTCGCATGAAGTTCCAGGGCAGAGGGGACTTGAGGAGCAGAGGCGGGGGAAGCCCACGGGCTTTGTCTGCTTCCAGAAGCATCAGGAAAGCTCCAAACTCCCCTCCTACTCCCTCATGGGTTTCTCAGCTGGGAGTGTGATCCGGCCCTGGGAGAGGGAGGAGCAGAAGGAAGAGGCCTTGGAACCAGGCCTGGGCTCAGCTCTCACAACCACGTGAGCCAGCCCTGCAGAGGGGACAGCCGGGGACAGCTGGAGTGCTGAGCCGTGGGCAGCAGGGGCGGCCTGCTGGGACCTCAGCAAGGCCTGGGGACGCCAGCGCTCCAGGCGGCCTGAGCTGCAGAGAACACCGGGCAGCCAAAGCTGGATGCAGAAAACCAAATTCAGATGTGCCAGACCCTCTTGGCAGCTGCGTGGGTCTTGCAGGGGAGCGATTGCACCACCGCCTGCAAGGTGGGCCGGAGCCCCTGTGCTCCACTGGCTGCCGCTCAGGCTCTGCTTTACGTGTCCTGGGAGAGGATCTGCGAGATGAACAATCCCTGTTTGGGATGCTCAGCTGTGCAGGCTCCGTGTAGCCAAGCCAGGGCCGTGGGTGCAAAGCTGCTGTCGGTATCTGCTCGCCATCTGGTGTCCCCGGTTACTCTGCAATATCTACCTGCTCTGCTGCTCAGGGCGTCTCGCTCCTCTGCTGGGGCTCCTACCTGATGTACCACCAGCCCTCCAGGTTCTTCCTGATCACTTCCACAGTGACACCCTTCTCAAAGCCAATCTCGTCCTTGCTCTGGCTGGTGTAAGGCTGCACAGTGACATACTTCTCCTCTGTGGGTGGCAGGAAAAGCAAGAAAGCACAATTACTTGAGATTGGGATGCGCTCCTCTTGCCCATCTCTTCCTCCCCTCTGGCCTGGCCTTGCTTAGCTGGTTACCAAGGTGCACACGGTCAGCATCTGGCTCTTCCAGGGAAGAGAAGGGACCAGGCTTCACCGCTGCTCCCAGTGTGTGCCAAAGCCAGCCAGGGCCTTGGGTGGTCTGGCAAAACCCAGGCTCTCCCAGCCTCCTAACCCTGTAACAGTAGCCAGGCTGCCAGGGCCTGAATCCTTCGGCTCCCAGCTCCATGGGCTGAGGGCAGGGTTAGGAGGAACCTGTCCTTCATAGGGCCTGTGTTGAGAACTCTTGAGACCAAGCCTGAGTGTCCCCTGAATGCCTGGAGGCCCCACGGCACCCCTCCTCTTTCCCTGAATGTGTGACGCTTCTGTGTCCTAGACTTATTCTCCTAGCCCTTCTCCACCTCAACCCCTATCCTTCCTGTCTGGTCTTCTGATGCTCCAGATCCCTGTCCTTAGGGAAGCCTTACCTGACCACTCATGTGGTCACCTGGACACACATTCCATGGGACAGGTTATGTGTGTCTTGTTAAGATAAGGGTCCTAGGGACAATGAGCAATGGCCACGCTGAGTGTAACACAAACATGCAGGACCTCTCGGAGCCCTGAGCAAGCCATAGTGCCCCGTGCATTGTCTGGAGCAGCGGTCACCAATGGGTGGTCCGTGGACCACTGGTGGTCCGAAAGATTGATGACCGCTGGTGTGAAGAACAGCATGCCGAGCTGACCACACAGCACGGAGCTGTCTTCAGGGAGCTGCCTGCTCTGGTCTCCCAGGCACTGAGAAAGAGGCGCCTTGTGGAAGCTCCGGGAAGGTGTGGGAGGGCAGGCGTGGGAGCTGGGCCACATGTGTCTTCTCTGGTCCCTGCAGCCTCTCTCCTGGCAGGGGCCCTGCTGCCTCCACACGGCTCCTCGCTCAGGCTCCCAGGGAGGTGATGCTTCTGGGTCTACTGGGGCCAACTCTGCCTGCCTCCAGGACGCCCTGACAGCCAGGCCCACAGCCGGCTGGCCACAAACCCTGCCTCCTGGATGGAGAGCCACCCTGAGGGCCACGCAGGCTTCAGGAAGATGTACAGGTCCCCACGCTGCCCTTGAGGAGAACAAGGAGCACAAGGTGGAGAAAAGCCGGCCGTCTGGCCATGGCGCTGGGAGGGGTCACCCTGAAGCTACGTGGTCTTCTCCCAGGTGGGTGCTCCATGGGCCCGAGACAGTGCCTTGCACACAGCAGGAGCTCCAAACGGACTGTGGGGGCGAGGATGAAGGGGCAGGCGGGGCTGAGCAGGGCGCTGGCGGGAGGCTTTCTGCGAGCTCAAAATAGTAGGATGCTGGCACAGGACCTGAGTTTCTGAGATGCCTGCCCCCCACCTCCTGGCTTCCAGCTGTGACAATCACCCTGACACCTCAGCTGGATCCTGGAGGGCAGCCTGGCTGAGCCTCTGGCAGCCGTGGGGAGAAGGGGGCAGCTGCCCCCCAATGGGTTGTGAAAGGAAGGCCATCTGTTCATTCTTCCCCGGATTATCGGGGTCCTGTCCGCAGCCCTGTCCTGGGCTGAGATAGCAGCTCCCTTTGGGATGGAGGCAGCTGCCCTGCCAGGCTGTGAGGACAGAGCTGATGGGCCGAGGGCCGAATCTGAAAGGCAGAGAAGGTGGGTGACAACCCATGGGCGTCTCTTCTCCGCTGTGAGCCTTTCTCAGCACCGACCCGCTCCGGGAAGCTTTCAGATTCCAACGCAGCCGTGCCGCGAGCTGCCAAGACCGCCTGAGAACCTCCTTCGGCCAGATTCTCACTCGGCCTCGGAGAAGTTCAGTGTTCCCCAGGCCAATCCTCCACTCGCCTGCCTGCGCCTGGTCCCACTCCATTTTCCAGTGGGGCACGGTGTGGCCTGGCCCTGGCGGTGGCCAGAGGGGCAGCGCCAGGCCCCGGGAATCTAGAGTTCTGAGGTTAGGGGGGAGGCGAGGCCTGGGCTCCACATTTTGCCTTTCTCAGCTGGGCTATTTTTAAAAGCCTGTGGTTCCAGCAGGAAGCCATCATTAAAGTTTTCCGAGGCAAAGCTGCTTTTCCAGAGAAAAATTACAGTCCTTCGCTCAGGAAGATCAGAGGAGCCCTGCCCGGCCGCAGGGCAGAGAACACGGCCTCAACCCTGTCATGTGGGCTCGGGCCCTGGAGCTTCCAGGCCCAGGCACCGGCCTCCGCAGCCCCCGGGGGCGTGCAGAGGACAGAGCCCCAGGGGCCATGGAACCACCCGCATCTCCCTGACCCTCCTGAGGTGGGCAGCACCGAGGATGTCGGCCTTCCCCGGGAGAGCTGAGCTGCTCTTGGTGGCCCTTCTCCTGGTGGCCGAGGCTGCCGAGAACACAGGTGTGTGGGAGTTTATGGGCTCCTAGCGATGGATCTGGCTGGCTCCGAGGCCTGTCCCGCCCGGTGGCTGTGTCGGTTCCAGGTGATGAAAACTCAGGGTCCTGGTTCCAGGCAGGGCAAACCTTCCAACTGGTCCGTCTGGGGGCTTGGTTTTCTGCCATGGATGGCTCAGACGGCTGAGGCGGGCATTTCCTCCGTGTGAGCATGTGCTACGTGGAGCTCAGGGTCCCCCCCCTCCCCCGCTCCCACCAGCCCCTCTGCGGGAGCAGGGCCACACCTCCCACCCAGGGACCAGGCGGGAGGACGCCCAGGCGGATGGACATGGCCTCGGGGGGTGGCTGAGTGACTCAGGTTGGTTGGGGTCCCCAGGAGAGATGCCCCTTTGGATTTGAGGGAATGGAGACTATGAGCTCCGGGGTGCACTCAGAGCTTCTGAGAAACACCAGGGCTGTGGCCACTCTGATGTGCCGCCCAAAGATGGTGGCCACCCCGCCCAGGAAGGGCTGGCCGGGCCGCCCACTGGGTGAGTGGGTGGGTGGCTGCGGGAAGGTGGACAGGCCTATTTTGGTTTTGGAGGCAGGGGCTGGAGAGCCCTGCAGTTTCCAAACCACAGACGCCTCCTCTTTCCAAACACTTTCCCCTCCGTCAGCAATCTCCCCGGCTTCCCTATGGGCCCCCACAATTTACCCAGCCCCACTGCAAGGGGCCTTTTGACTCCAAAGACCTGGTTGGCTGAGGGAACAGGGAATAGAGGCCCTGGGAAGGCACTGCTTTTCTCCTGTCTGGTCCTAGCTGACCTACTGCCTGCTTTTCTCCCCCCCCCCCCCCCCCCCCCCCCGTGTCAGCGCGGCTCTCTGCAACCAAGCATCTCCCAGCCAACTTCTTGCAAGTTTTTCTTGGCTGCCTGATTTCACTTAGGGCTCAGACTGGGAAATAATGCTGTTTAGATCTCTTATTTGGAGAGAGAGGCTGTGGACTTGCATTTTCATATGTAGGGGTGACCACAGAAGTATGTATTTGGCTAGGTATATGTGATATATGTTTGGAGTGGTGGCTATACTTGTCTGTGTATCTGTAGCACGGGGGCCATGCACATGAGGCTCTACAGAGCTATATGTGTACTTGTGGTAGTGCTGCAGCGCTGAACATGCGTGGCCGTGAGCAGTGTGTGTGGCTGTTATTGTGACTGTGTACATCATGTGTACACGGGACCGTCTACATGTGGTTGCATATGTGGAATTACGTGCACCTGTGAGTGGGTGTGCATCTGTGGGGCTGGCTGTGGCCGTCAGGGCTGTGCCATGGTGCTTTACGGGCTGCCCATGTCCATGTGGCTGTGGAGACAGGGTTGTCCTTGGGGCTCAGCGTGTCACAGCGTTTGCAGCAGATGCTGGAGGGGATGGGAAAGGCCAGGCCTTCCTCCCTGCTGCTTTTTCCAGGCCGGTGTCCTGCTGTCCTTTGCCACCAAGGCTTGGGGCTGCATCCTAGCCTGGTCCTCAGCAATGCTGTCTCTCCTCTCCTAGCTCTAGGGAGCTTTTGCTTTATATCCCACCTGTTCTTGCTGTTTCCACGACCCAGCCCCCTGCCCTGTGCCAGCCTCCAGGGTCCAATCTTCAGGACAAGCGAGGCTCCTCACGGTCAGTGCCCCGAGCCTGACACTAGGCCAGCCACAGGTAGTGGCCACCCCAGAGTCCAGGCTCCCTGCTGCCTGGGGCTTGGGGACAGATACTGAACATGGTCTTATATTAGTTCAGGAACAAGCTTCAGGGTAGGGATGCAAGCCACAGGGCACCCCTGCCATTCTGGAGAGGCCCGTGCTTACCACACACCCTCTCAGCTCTCCCTGGCCCTGCCCGGAGCATACACAACACGCTCTCCCAGAGACAGGGGGAACTGGCCACTCGGCCCGGGGGCTCTGGAGAAGTGCAGGGATTTGTTCAGAGGCCTCAGCCACTATGTCCCAAGCTCCTGGACGCTGGAAAGGCCCTGAACCTGCAAATGTCTTGGTTCCTGATTAGCCTGGGTGGCAGACCAGGGGCCTCCATGGAATCCTCTTGGTCAGCAGCTCCCCACCCCCCAGTCCCAATGGCTAGTGCTGGAGAAGCTGGAGGCGCCAGGCTGGGTCTGGCTCTTGCTCCATTTCTAGTTTCCTGGCAGCTGGCTGAAGGAGGTGGGTTATGGGCTGGTCCTTCTTCCTACTCTGTCCCTAAGGAATGCTGGAGCAGCTTTGGCCAAGGGAGCACCTTCTCAGGGGAAGAAGGCAATGCAGCGTGTGTGTGTGTGTGTGTGTGTGTGATGACCCATGAAGAGATTCAGAAACACTCAGTTCTCTTCATCTGCAGTTCCCAGGACAAATGTGGCCCATCAAGACCAACGGCTCCCACCCTGTGCCCCACCCCTGGGACAGACAGAGACCAGAGCCACCTCTAGTGCCATCCCAATTCCCAGCAGCCCCCGCGCCCCCTTCCCCCTCCCCCAAAAGCTGCAGGGGGCGAGAGAAAAGCCCGGCCAGTGGATCTGGGTGAGGAGGTCACAGGCAGAGCCCGAGAGGAGCAGAGGTGTTAGCGAGAGAGAAAGAGGCGGCAGCTGCAGGTGGAAGCCAGCGCCCGCGGTCACCTCGGCTGTGCTGCCTGTTGACCATCCCGCCCAGGGTCCACCGGCGATCCAGGCGCCGCAGGTGGGCCTTGCGTCTCTTGGACACTGGCGAGGGAGATGGCGGTGGAACATGCGGCCGACAGGAACCGGTGGAGAGAATGGAGATGGAGATGAGATGGATGGACGGGGCAGGGGAGGGAGGAAGCAAGGGAAGGGTCACACGCTCCCAGGACAGCGACACACACCTGCTGGACGGGGGCAGGTCTGACAAGTGACATCATGGGCACGACCAAAGCTGAAGGCCATGTCCCAGAGTCAGAGATGGGCTGAGAATCCCAGCACTTGAGAGGCGAAGAGGGTCCTTGGCTCCGGCCAGTGCAAGGATGACCCTCTGCGGGGACCCATCATACCAGGGCTTCAGCCCCACTCACCAGCTCCTGCTTGTGACCCTGCCACCACGCAGGTGTGTGTGTGTGTGTGTGTGTGTGTGTGTGTGTGTGGAAGGGGAGACTCAGATCCCTTCCTCGCAGGATTTATAGCTCTTATTGTCTGCATTTATGTCCTGCTTTCAGTCCCCCTATCCTGGACCGAGTCCTTTGAGGGCAGAGATTATCTGCATCCCCAGGCCCAGCAAGAAGGACAAGTTCATGGCTGATCCCTGAGAAATGGTGCCGAGTGAAGTGCACACATGGGTGGAGGCCACGGGCCATGGGTCCGTCTGTTCCTTCTCTGAACAGAAGCTGCCTGCCCTGCCTCTCACTGCTCCAGGCCCCTCGGTCCAGCCACCCTCTCCGGGGCAGCATTCTGTGCTGGTCGTCTGGCTGTTTCGGCCCAGTTCCAGTTACCCCCGCCTTCCCATGGAACAGCAGTGGCACAGACACCAGACCAGGACTCCAGGGTGCCAACTGGCCCCCCCTCTGGGCCCTGCAGGAGGAGGGTGCTAGGCTGCCCAGGTCTGGGAAAGGGAAGCGGGCAATTCCGAGTCCCAGCAAAACTGTCAGACACAACTTAAACCAAATGCCACCAGAGCTTCTTGGGAAGGAGCTGCTTGCCTGGGAGGGCAGTGGCCTGTTTGGTCTGCTTCTTGTAAGCAGGAGGCCTGGGCAAAAGGTCAGGAGGTGTGGGTTCAGTCCAGGCCCCACTGCCGAGTTTCTGAACCACCCTCCCTAAGCCTGTTTCCGCGTCTGTCATTGGAGAGGACACCACTCGCCAGGAGTGAACACAAGCGAGGGGACTGAGTGAGCTCGATGGAACGTAAGTCAGGGCTGTGTGAGACCAGCCTGGAAGGAGCTCTGACAGCCGTTAGGGAAGCTCTGAGGGGATGCAGGCCCCACTCCAGGGCTTAGGAGGCAGCTAGGAGGACTGAGCACCTGGCCTGAACACACGGCACCTCCTGATGGGGCCTGGTCCCTAGAAACCCGTTACAAGGCGGACCCGCACGGCAGGGACTGCCATTCCGGTCAAGGGGCTGAAATAAAGCATTTCAGGAGGAAGGGTGGGGCGCCAACTGCCTGCTGAGTAACGGACATCGATGGGAAGGATGAATAAGGAGCTGGCGCTCGGCGGACTGCTTGTGTTGGCCTGGGCAATGGGAAGGGGGGGAGGGAGGAGGAGGCCTGGAGGTGGCCTCAGCCCCAGGTGGCAGGCCTCCATCCCCCTGGCTCTCAGACATGCCATTTGGACAGGCCCCGCTGACCGTTAGGGCAAGCGTGCCTGCCGCCAGGACACGGGCGGCTTGGAAATCACTAGAAGCAGGCAGCGGGAATGAGGGGTGCCTCACACTGGGCTCTGGCAGCTGCTCTGGGGAATACCTGAGGCTGCAGACAGACTGTCCAGGCCAGTGCTGGCCTGGGGCAGGCTCCCTGGAAATGCAACTAGAAAGACCTAGCCGATCAGAGAGGCTGATGGCCCAGGGCTTCGAGCCACCTGTCCGTGACTGCAACCCTGAGAAATGGCTCACAGGCCTGCCCTTCGTCCGCACCCTCAGCTGGACTAACAGACACCAGAGCGGAGGCAGAACAACCGGCGCACAGAAGTTGCGTGGGGTGGGGGCAGGCGAAGGAGGGTCTCTGTGGGACCCAGAGGAACCTGGGGCATCTTGGGGAACAGGGGGCTTCTTGAGGAATAGGGAACCTTGGGGGTCTAAGCCCAAGACTCTTCTTAGTCTCCAAAGTTGCCAAACCCCAAGATCCACACCCCACGGGAATTTCCCCTCTCATTTTAGCTCCCCATGGGGGCTGCAGGGGCTGGCCTGGATGGGAGGTGAGCTTGTGAATCGGAGCGAGAGGAGGGGCTGAAACATGGTCAGCTCTCTGCAGGGGTTCTGATGGGTTTAGGGAGAAGAGTGGGAAAGCTGCCTCCAGGAGTTGGGTTCATTCCTGGGGCCAGGATTGGGCGGGGGCACCCATCCCTGGGGATCCCGGGGGCAGCCAGTTCCCAGAACCTACCTCGTTACCCGCCCCCCACAACCTGCAGGCTCTTACCTTCCCCGCTCTTGGAGGTGTTGATGTCTGAGTCATCCCGAGTACCATTCTGGGCCTCCAGGTAGGTGGCAGGGACCCAGCCCTGCTCCTCAGAGGTGCTCACGAACCACCAGCCTGCAGAGGGAACGAGAGAGAACAGTGTCATGAGGACCCAGAGGGATGGCAGAGGCGGTAGGGCCTGGGCGAGGAGGAGAAGGCACAGAGCCAGACAACCAAGGTGCCCGGCAAATGCCTGGCCCACGTCCAGCATGGAAGAGCCTGACCAGCACACTCCCCGAGAAGAGAGCCTGATGGTCTGCGAGGCACACTTCTGCAAGTGTTTGATGGGAAAAAAATCCAAATATTGAGACAATGCAATGTCCAATGTGTGAAAGTCACCTGGCAGGAAAGGCCAAACCCAGAGACCTTTCAGGGTCTGTGAGGTAGGACCACTGGTGTGGGCCGGAGTTTGGACACTTTCTCCGCTTCTAAGGTATCCAGGGACACACTCCTCACAGACGCCTTCCAGCGGTCACCATTCCCCTTTCCCCACCGCGGGTCAGTGGCACTTCCACATCTGTGCTCCTTTACAGCTGCCGTAAGTGTGTTGACATGTCAGTCACAGTAAGTGGGCACTGCAGCCTGGAGTGACCCTTGACGGTCATGGCCAAGTGATAAAAGCTCATTCATTTTCTTTCTTCGCGCACTGATTCATTCATCACTCAAACCAACGCTGACTGAGCAGAGTACTCTGAGCACCCAGGACTTGGAAGCCTGTTGAATGCCTTCCTCCCTTCCCAGAAGGTACTCCTCACAGGATGCCTTTGCCCCCATCCCACCCGGAGCCTCCTCTGCCTCCAAAGCAATCTGGCCCCACTTCCTTCCTACCCAGGACAGAGCTCACCAATTCCAAATCTGCACCATTCCCAGCAATCACCGCGATTCACGATCAAAGGTCCACCATAGTGAGGCAAGCCCACTGGGCAACTGTTAGCAGAGACCTCCCTAGATGAGGATGGAGCTCACCGAGGCACTTCAGGTGAGCAGTCCCTGCCCAATTCCCACTCACCAGGGCCACCTTGGGAACTGGCCCCTGGCTCCAAGGACCTCAGAATCCCAGGAGTTGGGTCTTTTTCCTGCTGGTGGCATCATCTCTCCTCCCCTTTGGGAGCCCTTCCATGTGCATGCTGTTCCCTTCCTTCCCCAGGAGCCAGGAATCTGGGATAGAGAGATGGATTTGGACTTGTTGGCACAGGGAAACCCAGGGGCAGGGCAGGTCTCCCACCTTGGCTGCACAGGCCTGGCACACAGGGGGGGCTGGGCAGAGACTTGCTAAGGGGCCAAATGGGTGGCTGAGGTGCCTAACGGGCAGGGTGGCATGATGCTCTGCATCTCACACTGCCTGGGTGCCCCATGGATGTGCAGGGCAATCTGAGACCTTTCGACCTCAACATTTTGCTGCACCAGACGCTTCTGGGGAGTCTGGGCCACATTATCAGCGACCGTGAGCATCTCCCCACCCCAAGGCAGCAACTTAGGATCCTATTCTCCTGCTGTACCCCCAAGACTTGGGGCTGAGACCCTCATCATCCTCAAGGCCTGGTGGTCCCTGCCCACCTTGCCTGAGAACACTGGCTTGGGCTCCTTACCCTCCAAAGTAATCCAGAGCAGAGCTGGACTGTGTGTCTTTAAGACTCAGATCAGTCCTGCATCAGGCCCTGCAGAGAACTCGCTGCTGGCTTGGCTGTGGGCACCTTCACCAAGTAAAGAAGAATAGGTTCGAATACCACCCAGGTGGGCATGCGTGAACATGGGCAGAGGTGTCCACCAGCTCCATGCAGACCTCCTGGGAACCCTGGCATGAGTCATACAGCCAGGCTTCTGGGGGAGGTTCCCTGGGGCCGCGCCCACCCACGGCTGCTGACAGGCCTGTCCCAGATGCCAGCAGCTCAGACGTCAATTGCTGCAACCAGGGCTCCTGACCAGAGTCACTGCGGCTCCAGCAAGGAGCAATTAGAGCCTGAACCCCTGGGCGTGGCCCAGCTGGCCAAGAGAACTCCGGTGCCAGCCAGCCCCGTGGGGCTCCCAGGCTCACCTCCAATGCACGTGGAGTCCTTTTTCCTGTGGAGGCTGAGTGTGTGCAGGGGGAGGTGTGGACAAGGCTATGTATTTTTGAGGACAGGGAGGTAGGTTATGTCCATGTTCATATCTACGCACATCTGGAACAAAGGTGAGTCTGCCCATGACGATCATGGTCAGATTCTGAGAAGACCACTCGGTGCCAGGCACTAATTTTACATACGTTACTGTATTTAACCTTCAAGAATCCTGTGAAATAAGTGTTACTGTCATCAGCATCCCCACTTCACAGATGATGAAACGGAGGCAGAGATAGATGCCAATTAGGAAGAGGCAGAGCTGGACGTCAAACCCAGGAAGTCTGGCTCCAGGTTCCAGATTCTTAACGGAAATGGACGAGGTACATATCTGCTGTGTACACGAGGGCAGAGGTGGCTCCTGGAGAACATGTGTCCCTGGGTATTGGTGCCTGTCTGTGAGCGGGTGTGTCCCAGTCACTGGGTATGTGCTTTGTGTACCTGAGTGTCTGTGTGTCTGTGTGATGGTCCTCTGGGGTGGAAGGTAATACTTAGGGACCTTGGGGGAGAACAACTCAAATTCAGGTCTTGGCTTGCTACTTCCTAATCATGTGATCATGGGCAAATTACTACACCTCTCTGAGCCTCAGTGTCCCCTTCCTGATGTGAGAGTAATTCACGAAGCCTGCTTCCAGAGGTTGTTGACGTGAATAAAGGATACAAGTAGCTTAGCTTGGGACCTCACACAGAGGAGAAGCTCAAAAACCTTGCAGTACCACCAGCATGGTGGTGGTGGTGGTTTGGTATTCCCCTAGACTGAGAGCCTGCACCCATGGGTGCCCAGGCGGTGTCTGTGCCTGAGGACCATATCAGGAGACCTCAGTAAGACTTGGGAGCTATCTGTGTGTGTGCGTGTATGTCTGTGGGTGCGCATGTATGTGTGTGGGTGCACGCATGCACCCATGCATTCATTCTAACCTATGGAGTGTGGGGCTGCCTTCAGGGGCTCCAGAAGAATGGAAGGCACTATCTTTTTGCAACATGGCTTGCTCTTGCCTCAGCTGATACAATATGTGATAGCAATGTGTGTTGAGAAGTGGGGCCCAAGGGGACACATCCCTATGATTTCCCTCCTTGCCCAACGTGTCTCAGAGCCATCCTCAGCCTGGCTCCTGACCTCCCGCTCACACAGTTCCCCAGGATAGAGGTCCTGCAGCCTCCTCTCTCCTGTCCTAACCTCCTCCAGGAAGCCCTTCCGAACTGACCTTCAAACCCCGAGTGTCCAGAGTGTCAATCAACCCCACGACTCACAGCTGCTCGTGCACTCTGAGAATTAGTCCTGTTGAGACTATAAGTCCCATCTGCGTCTACTTTGTCTCCAGGGCAGAGCTGAGCTTGCAAGAAGCACTGGCAGATGAGGAGCCCGAGGGACAGTTTTGGAGCCAAAGACCTGAGCCGGAATCCATCCCTGCCACTTCCATGCTCTGTGGCCTCTGAAAAGCGACTTAACCTTTCTGAGTCTTGGTGTTTCCATCTGTAAGATGGGAAAACTACCATCTACCTTGCAGGCTAGTATGAGGATTGGATGAGACAAAGAACAACGCACGGGATCTGGCACACAGCAGGCGCCCACCACAGGAAAGCTATGAGCTTGGCTGAATGAAGGACTAAAGCCACACGATGTGGGAGGCCAGGTAGCCAGCTCTTGTGGATGCCCTTGGACCAGCCTGAGACACCACTTACACTTTTCATGTCCCAGGAAGATGAGTCCAAATTCCCAGCTGGCCCCTGTTAGCTCTCCTCTTATCCCACCAACCTCCGTTCTTGGGAAAGAAATTCAGCGAGGTTTTGCTAAAGGAGTTGGCTTTGAGCTGATGAGTGGCCAACTCTGTGCCCAGATGGAGGTGGCTGTTTTCAACTGACTGCCAAGTTACCCTGGTTTCTAGGTGGGATGGGAACATGCTCTTTTTTGGGGGGTGGGGAAGGGTCTATAAAGCAGGATGGTAGGGGCTGAGTTTGCTGGGAAACCCTCTTAGCACAACCCTGCACCCTGGCCTGGCAGCCAAGCCCACACAGGTCTACCCACCTGGACTGCCTTTATGCTGAGATACCACCCTCAGACAGGGCAGGATGGGGAGGGGTACTATGTCCATCCCTTTGAATGGGAAACTGTTGTAAGGGCACCTGAGGGAGGAGCCACACACACTGGACATGCAGGAGACACCTTCGTTGTGGGGTCTGGGCCTGATCTCTGGGCTAAGCCTCAGACTGGGAAAGTCATCTGGGAGAATCGCAAACTGGCCAACCCCCGGAGGGCTGCCTCCTCTGGCTCCTGCCCTGTGAGGGCCATGTCTCTGCAGTGCCAGGAGAAGGAGCTCACTCAGCCAGGCTGGCTGGCAGGCCAGGGCCCAGCCCTTTCCAGGAAGCCGAGGCCCAGAAAGAACAGCAACATCACCTGTCAGCAGCTAGCCCTGCTCTCTGGGCCTCAGTAAGCGCGCTTCTCAGTGGCAGGGGCCGAGGGAAGGAGAAGGCCACACGGGGGTAACCTGACCAGCACCTCCAGCTCAGGGCAGGGGGGGGGGGGGTGGGCACCCATCTAAGTAGGAAAGAGAGAACCCTCATCCCTAGGAGAAAAAGTACAGATGATGAACCCGAGAAGCTAGGCTCTCTTTCTTTCCAAGCTGAGCATAATCTTCAGCTGTTTGGGCTGTCAAAATTCTCTTTAAATGATTCTGATTAGGGCTTCCCAGTGCTGGCATTGAGGGGAGGGATGGAAAAAGGATATATATATTTTAGAGGCTCGGTGCATGAATTCGTGCATGGGTGGGGTCCAGCCAGCCTGGCCAGGGGGAGGGGACATGAGTGGTTGGCTGGCCCGCCTGCTGGTCAAACTCCTGGTCGAGGAGACAATTTGCATATTAGCCTTTTATTATATAGAAGGATATACACTGAGTGGCCAGATTATTATGCGTTGAGATTATAATAATCTAGCCACTCCATGTATATATGAATGAGACAGAGAGAGCGGGAGAGAGAAAG